TAGGACTGTCACCAGCTCCTGCGGGGCTCCGCGGCCGCGCTCCCTGAAAGACCCCCTTGGGAGGTGGTGGAAGGTGTCAGGATCGCGGACCCCCCTTCCCCGAAAATACGCCTTCCCCGCCCACCACTCAGCGCGACAGCCTGCGGGAAGCTCCAATTTAAGGCAACCGGTTGTTATTTAGTTTGGGGGGGTTCTTTTATTCAGCAGCTTAACTCCCCAGCATTGCCCTTTTGCGAGTGAGACTATAGATTTCTAATTGTATAATTCTTGTTTATTTTTCCTTTATCATTGTCATTTCTGGAATAGAGCAATTGATTCCTTCCTGCGTGGGGTGTGTTTGTACACATATACGTATAGTGCGCGTGTGTACGTAGTGTACTCCAACAATTGAGAGTAATAAATTATGCACAAAGATATTTGACAGAATTATTACAAATTGTATATGCCGCTGCAAATAAATACCGTTCAAAAGCAAACTGGTATAAATTTTGTGCTATGGGTCCAGTTTTAATTACTCAAATAATCTTTATATATTTACTTCAGTTATCAGTAAAGTACAGTTAGGAACGGCAGAGTTTTATTAGACATGAATTTCTGTTTTGGATACCCGTAACTTTAAAGATTCTATATTGTATAAAGTTTAACTTCCTCTTTATAGTTCTATGAAGTTGGAGAACAAGAGTGATTCTTTAAAAAAAAAAAAAAAAACTCGAAGCGAAGTAGATTACACATTTTGATCAAAAGAATTTAAGAGTAAAAGTCAAAATGCAAGTTCTTTACAGATGGAGGGGAGGGATAAGGAACAGGAAAGGCATTTTAGTCTTCAAGAGAGATTATTTGAAACAGACTCAACGTGAAAGATATTTCTGGGCTTAATTGAGGTGCTTACCTGAAAGATTGTTTCTAATGAATACAGTCAAAATTTAACCTTGCATCAGTACATAGAAAGCATCTGATATCACAGTAGGATGCAAGTGGAATAATTTAGCATCAGGGACAGACTAAGTACCCAGTTCTTTGAAGGCTTTGAAAGGCATGTGAACTAGCTCTCTACTTCGGTGAGCATGTAGGAACAGTGAAGGATTTAAAAGAGTCTCCCTAGAGTTTTTATGGAACAAACTTATTCATCTTTTCTCCTATCTCTCATTTTCTTTCTAAACTTGTTTTCAACCCTAGTAAAATGTCAGTTCACAAATTTCCAGATATCTGATTTACATAGGGAGATATTTTACAGGGCAGAGTTGTGTAAAAGTTAAACAATATTAACAACACCCAAGCTCATTATGTTTGTTACACATATATTTTATGACCTTGCATAACATTGATTGTTAATGCCCTAATAGAATTTGAGTTGATAATTGTAATCATACTCAATTTGATGTTGAAAAAGAAAGCATTAATGTTTGAGCATAGATTTCAAAATGTTATTTTTAAAAAATAAAGTAAATACAATTGTGAGTTTGTGGGCATAAAAGTTAGAAAATTCACAAAGATTGTTTCCATAATAACTGTTATATTACTCTCTTGTCCATGTGTGATTGCTTTCTTTTATAGAACATTTGTCCTCTTCTCCCAAAATATTCATGTGTTAGGCCCCAGTGATGGGTACATTTCCAGCTCACAAAAATTTTAACCATAATGTTTTCTGATGCTAGGAAAACTGAATTTTTCTACTGTAAATACATTTATTTCAACTTTCTTTGAAAGAGGCACAGGATTAAATATTTGTTTTAATGCAAGTAGAACATGTGTGTCTTTGACAAATAACCATTTCAATACATTAAAGTATGGTCATTAAAATGGCAGGTTTATCCAGATGTAGACTTGGTTACAGCAACAAAATCAGTGCATTTTATATTATTAGAAAACCCATGTATGAACACATTTGGAAGTGTGAAAAACTTTAAATTTTTGCTTTGATCACTGAAAACAGCATTGGAGCTCTCACTAGAATTTCAAAAATCTGCAGACTTAAAGCTATTAGACTACATTTGGACTTAAAGAGCCTTTAGAAATAACAGTTATCACAGGGATGTGAAGGACTGCATAGGGAATATAGTCAATAATGTAGTAACTGTGTAGTGCCAGGTGAGTACTAGACTAATCGGGTGATCACTTCATAAATTATATACATGTTTTAAAAATAACAATTATGTGCAGCTGAAAATAACAAAATAGATATTTAAACATCCTCATGTTAATATATTTTTCCTTCTAAACTGCAAATATTAAGTAGACAATCCTGATAAATTTGTCTTTTTGAGAATCTAGAAATTATTCAATTAGTATCATTTGAAACACTTCAGAGTGTTTTAAAAACACTTTGTATCCTTTGAACTGGTTAGTTAATTTTTTTAAGAAACCAATTTAATATTGGCTTTTGCACTGTGAGTACAATTAAAGTGATCTAGGGTGTTTATAGGATCTATGTGGTCAGCTTTTCCCAAAGGCCTCATTGGTTTTTTTGTTAGTTTTATGAAGTAAAATATTTTCTAGTATGCTTTTTTTAGATTGTATAAGTACTTTTGCTTTTGTGCAAAGAAAACTGAAGGAAAGTAGTCCTTTAGATTGTTCAACATCCATGAGGAGAAAAAAAGCCAATATGCTTACATGCCCATGAGACATCAGAAGCTTTAATTGGCATATAAACTTATGTGTTCTAGCCAGTTCTGTTTTTTCCCTGCCCCTAAAATACCTACTCATTTTCTAGAGAGAAGAAAGTTAAAACATTTAGAAATTACCAACACACAAGAAACCATTTTATCTACTTAACACTGATTCTTTGATTGTTAGTGATATTTAAACCTTGAGGTAAATATTAATGAAAATTAAATTTACTAGTTTAGCCAGAAATGAACAGTTGGGAGGACTACATATCTGAGTTATATTTGACATTTGAGAGTATAGGTTAAAATAATTTTGGAAAAGTTTATAAAATCTATATACATTCTTTTGTTTTATTAAATTTCTTAACTTGGTAAGGCAAAGCTTGAGACTTGGAATTTGAATGGTCAAGTGTTTACATATTCATGATCGCAGAGTTCTGTGGTTTCAAATTGGGTTTTATGTCACATATGCTGTCAAACAGACCACACTGAGTATTCAGAAGGGACAACAAAGCTTTTATTTTCAAATTAAATTTGTAATCCAATCCCTGATAATTTCTAAATAGTCATTGCTACAATAATTGATACAGGCAAACGTAGTCTTTCCTTCCCCCTCACATAATATAGCCTATCTTGTATATGTGGACTTTTAGATAAAATTCAAATTCATTTTAATGGAATTAGTGCCTTAATCTGTGAGGGAAAGTGAAATGCTAGTTGCATTAAAGAAATTAGAAACACAGGAATGAAAATCAATGACACAATGTTTTCTAAAACACTTAGAAAATTCATGCATATGGTTTTGCACAAGTGTTTTGGATTCTCGTCCCCCCTCAAACTTTTATTACAAACATTTACACTGTATAGTACAATTTTTATTTAAGTAATTTTCACAATTTAGTACCATTTAAATTTTTATTTTTTAATATTTAGAAATATTAAATATAAAACTTCAAAATGTGATAAAACAAGTAAAATTAAATGTTTTAAATCTAAATTTTTAGCAGGTTAAATGATCACACTACTGAAAAAAATTGAGTTTTTTAAAGAGATAAATCTCAAAGCATTTTCCAAAGTTAGGAACCTATAATTTTGTTAAACTTTGCAAACAGGAAATTTTATAGTCAAGATATTGTCAAAAAAGGAGAGCATTCTTGAATTTTCGGAGTGAAATTTGAAAGCTGTCATCAAGTGTCATGCCGAGATTCTTTTAGCTACTTGGGCCAGAATACGATGACTCTATCATTAAAGGTACATTCAGTAAGAGTCAAATTATAATTTTTAAAATAAAATCTTTGTATCTAACTAGTCTATAGTTCTGAAAAGATTTTTCACATATTAGAAAAATCATGCCTGTTCTTTAGGGCTTCCTTTAGGAAGTTTGATCCCTTACTTTGAAGCAAAGCAACTGATATCGCATTGGAATATCTGAGTCATATAGACTAAAATTGTGAAGTCTTCAGCTAGGAAGAAATGAGAAATTGATTTTTTAAAGGTAATGAAAATAAACAAATGCAGTTTGACAAGGGATGAAAGTAAATTTTAATTTAAAGTCTAGGAAATTAGAAGAAAGCAGCCATACGTCATATTATATTTAATGAGAAAAGAACAGGTTGAACTATGTACCTTAGACTTTCTCTATGTAGACAAATTAACACTTTACCTTAAACTCAGTAAGTGATTTAAATGATTACAATTTACTTATCTTTTGTATGGATTATAAAAAGCAAGTTTATTCCTTGAACATTAATTCATATCTACTTCTCCAGTGAAATGATATGAAAATTAAGAGTTGACCAATCATCCAATAAATTCTGTCAAATAGACCTTTGGTCAATAAGTACAATTTCACCTTCAACAGAGGTTGATTTTTTTTTTTTCTGTACTTAAATTATAAAGATTATTAGTTTGATTTCCTACTTTATGACCAAGAATGACCCATGGCTTAGCTATAAGAGTGAAAGTGAAGTATGGACACATTGAACACAAGTTTACTTTGATGAATATATCCAATTAATTCTTTCATTTGTATAGACTGTCCTTTAAATTATTAGCATATTTTTAAGAGAGAGAGCAAGAGGTTGAGATTGACTATTTGGGAGGGAGGATAATTTTTCCCTTCATGAGAAGAAAT